CAGATGGTGACTGCAGCCATGAAATTAAAAGATGCCTACTCCTTGGAAGGAAAGTTATGACCAACCTAGACAGCATATTAAAAAGCAGAGACATTACTTTGCCAACAAAGGTCCGTCTAGTCAAGGCTATGGTTTTTTCCAGTGGTCATGTATGGATGTGAGAATTGGACTATAAAGAAAGCTGAGCGCAGAAGAATTGATGCTTTTGAACTGTGGTGTTGGAGAAGACTCTTGAGAGTCCCTTGGACTGTAAGGAGATCCAACCAGTTCATCCTAAAGGAGATCAGTCCTGGGTGTTCATTGGAAGGCCTAATATTGAAGCTGAAACTCCAATACTTTGGCTACCTGATGCGAAGAGCTGACTCATTTGAAAAGATCCTGATGCTGGGAAAGATTGAGGGCAGGAGTAGAAGGGGACGACAGAGGATGAGATGGTTGGATGGCATCACCGACTCAATGGACATGAGTTTGGGTCGACTCTGGGAGTTGGTGATGGACAGGGAGGCCTGGTGTGCTTCAGTCCATGGGGTCACAAAGAGTCGGACATGACTGAGTGACTGAACTGAACTGAACTGAAGATAGGTCACATGTAAGTAGAAAGGAACGCTTTCCAAGCTGCCACCATGTGGCCAGAAAGACTTCAGGCTACTGCTGACATGTGAGCATCTCAGGCCTTTCCCCTCTGTCTGCCTCTGCTCTTCTCCATCCCCGTCTCTCTCTCTTTCTCTCTCTCTCTCTCTCTCTATCCATATGTGTATGGATGATATACAGCCATTCATATATCTCCCATATACATATATCTCATAGATAAATATATGGTGGCTTAGATCGTACAGAATCTGCCTGCAATGCAGGAGACTCTGGTTTGATCCCGGGGTGGGGAAGACCCCTTGGAGAAGGGATTGGCTACCCACTCCAGTAATCTTGCCTGGAGAATTCCATGGACAGAGTAGCCTGGCGGGCTACAGTGCGCAAAGAGTCGGATACAACTCAGCAACTAACACTTTCACTTTCCTATATATTAGAGAGCGACAGAAAGATGTCTATCTTTATATCTTTATGATATGAAAGAATTGGGATTCCACTGTATCTTACCTTTTTAAAAAATTATTTTTATTTATTTGGCTGTGCTGGGTATTAGTTGCAGTATGTGGGATCTAGTTACCTGACCAGGGATTTGACCTAGGCCCCTACACTGGGGGCACAGAGCCTTAGCCACTAGACCACCAGGGAAATAGCATTTTTTTCAGTGTGACTAAAAAAGTTACTTCAAAAGCATGATTTTTAAAATATTGCTGTTTGGGATTTCCTGGTGGTCAAGTGGTTAAGAATCTGCCTGCTAATTCAGGGAACATGGGTTAGATCCCTGGTCCAGGAAGATCCCATGTGCCATGAGGCAACAAAACCTGTGAGCCACAACTACTGAGGCCCATGTGCCCAAGAGCCCATGCTCTGAAACAAGAGGAGCCACTGCAATGAGAAGCCTGTGTAATGCAACTAGAGAGTACTCCATGAGCAGCAGTGAAGAACCAGGGTAGCCAAAAATAAACAAATAAATGAAAATATTGCACCTTGATATTCCATCAATGCAGTTTAGTTACCATGATTAATGTAATTAATTCTGTATTTCAAGATATTTAAACTCTTTCCAATATTTTGCTATTTGTCAATGACACTGCATGAATATGATTGTACCTAACTCCTGGGGGACATCTCTGACATTTTCCTCAGGCTAAATGACAAGATGCTGAATACCAAATGTGTTGGCTTTTGAGTGTTGGCTTTTGAATCTCATTATTAAAATCAAATTTATGCTGCTGCCACTGCATAAAAGAGTGTCTTTTCTGACCACCAGATAATTTTCTATTTATATTTTTATATAGATCATTTTCTATTTCTATTTATAATTTTCTGACCACCTGGTAATTTTCTATTATAAATGATCCCTCTCAATTTTATAGGTAAAACACACTTGCTTGACTTTGATTCCTGGTGAGGTTATATATTTTGTCAGACTTGCTGTCCATTCACGTTTCTCCCTATTTTGCATTTTGTGGTCTATCATGTGTCTCCCACTCCCACAGAATGTCACTGTGGGCTTGGGCCAGCCTCTTCCCTGCCGTGCTCCTGTCTTGACCACGGGAGCCTTCTCAGTGTCCCACAGAACTCAGGAGAGTCAAGCACTTTGCAAAGAGAACGTGTGTCAGAAAAATGCACACTCACAAGGGCCACAGGTGGCTTGGACAGCCACATCTGTCACTTCTCCAGCTAGGATGCTCGAATCCCTCCCAGAGCTGCAAACCTTCCATCTCACTCAAACTCTGGACCATCACCCAGGGACCGTCAGAGCAGGAGGGGCCTGCTCTAATGACTTAACCAGGTGAGGTTCACATGTGCACAGCTGTGCCTCAGAGGAAGTGTTTCCTACTGCTTTGGGGAAATGGGCAACTGTAAATCAGGGAACAGCGTGGCACTGACTTATTTATCCTTATAAGAGTTTTATATTCTGAAGTCAGCAAGGGACCCATTGCTGATCCACGGCCAATTTGTAGTCATTATCTTGGGAAAGCGCGATCCCCTTTGCTCGGCTGGTGGCGTGCTGGGGCCTGCAGGAACCCAGGCACCCCACAGGGCCAGCCCCTGATAAGTGGAAACCAAATGTCATCTTCCAGAGATGTGAGACAGATACAGGAAGTCACTGAACAGTGGGAAATTCTTCCTCTCGCTGCTAACACTGCTCTTTCTCTTCCCCCGGCCCCTCCTCCAAGTTCTTCCTCCTTCAGAGGGAATGTTTGCCAGGACAGCAGCAGCACCCTCTTAGGGGTGAGAGCGAGTCATGTAAGTCAGAGTGGACGTGATGAAAGGGAGGTTAATTAGCAGTCAAGGCCAAGGCTACTCTCAATGTCCTAAAATAAGTCCTGCATAATCCTTACAAGAGAATATCAAGCAGCCATTAAAAATAATGTTTTCCAAAAATTTTTATGAGACTGAAAAATGCTCGTGACATGAAGTAAAATGAAGGAAAGAAAGGTGCAAAACCCACCTAATAGAGTATAAAATATGGTCCCAATTATGTAAAATTGCTGGAAATTACCATTGTAAAATGGTGACTGTGATGATTTCTGCAAGTAAGATTAGGTTTGAGTTTTATGTTCTTTCTTATTATATTTTAAAATTTTCCTGAAATAAGCATCTGTAACTTTTATTTACAAAAAAATAGTATTTTGAAAGACCAAGTCTGATGTGATCCGCCCCAGGCCCCTGGGATCTCACAAGTTCCTATTTGTTACTCAGTTCTGCTCTCCTTACCTAAGTGTTAAGAGGAAGTGCTTGCCCTCACCCTGAGGCCTCCCTCCCTCCCTCCCTTCTTTCTTTCTTCCTTTCCCCTCCTCCTTGCACCCTGGTAAGTCTTTTGAGGAAGGCAAATCTTGGAACACAGGCTAAAACCAAATTTTTAACAAGCTCAAAATTTTAGCTGTTCCAATGGTGCATGGAGCAGGGGGACAGGACAAGGTTGACAGCCCTTCTTGTGGGAAAAGCTTGGTGGACCCAAAGATTTCTCTGCTCTTCTCTGGTCACACTGCTTCTAGCAGGCTGGTTTCAATCTGGTGCCAGGTTAAAAAGGATGTCGAAAAGACTGCCTTCTGCAGAATCTAGAAATGACAATAATATCTCCAGCCACAATATTAGCACCAAGAGCACCACTGTGAATCAAATTATCCTATGAGAGATAGTGATCTATCGTTTTATTTGATCTTTAAAACGACTCTTTACAGGTGAGAAATCTGGGTTTATTAAAGTTATATAATAAGGCTTGTTGTTGCTCAGTTGCTAAGTTGTATCTGACACTTTGCGACCCTGTGGACTGCAGCATGACAGGCTTCCTTGTCCTCCACTATCTCCTGGAGCTTGCTTAAATTCATGTTCACTGAGTTGGTGATGCTATCTAACCATCTCATCCTCTGCCATGCTCTTCTTTTGCCTTCAATCTTCCCCAGCATCATGGTCTTTTCCAATGAGTTGGCTCTTCACATCACATGGCCAAAATACTGAAGCTTCAGCTTCAGGATCAGTCCTTTCAATGAATATTCAGGGTTGATTTCTTTTAGGATTGACTGGTTTGATCTCCTTGCAGTCCAGTGGATTCTCAAGAGTCTTCCCCAGCACCACGACTCAAAAGCATAAATTCTTCGGTGTTCAGCCTTCTTTATGGTCCAATTCTCATGTATGTACACAGCTACTGGAAAAATCATAGCTTTGATTATATGAACTTTTGCCAGAAAAGTGATATCTCTGTTTTTTAATACACTGTCTAGGTTTGTCATGGCTTTCCTTCAAAGGATCAAGCATTTTTTAATTTCATGGCTGCAGTCACCATCTGCAGTGATTTTGGAGCCCAAGAAAATAAAGTCTGTCCCTGCTTCCACTTTCCCCCTTGTATTTGCCATGAAGTGATGGGGCCAGATACCATGATCTTAATTTTTTTTTTTTGCTGAGACATGCAGAGAATTTTTATTTATCACATTTGTTAATACTTAAGTTTTACTTGTAGAACAGAGTCACAGATAGAATAGCAGGCCGTTAGTAGTTATTAGTAGGGTTCAGTCAGGGATCTAGCATAGCATCTAGGAAGTACACAGGAGGTGGTTCAATAGGGAGGTGGTTGAATAGAGAGGGGTCATAGCTCTCAAATGCCAACTTTTGGTACAGTAAGCTGTCATAGCTCTCAAATGCCAACTTTTGGTACAGTAAGCTGTCAATCACTGTTTATATAGATGCTTTGGGTGGTGGATACACTACATATTTGTCAATTAGGGATTACTTTTTTTGTTGATTTTTGTTTTTTTTTTCAGTTATCTTTAGCAGTTAGGTGCTGGGGCCCCATCCCCCCACCCCCCACAACAGAATAGTATTCTTATTAGAAGTTTCTAAGACGGGCAATTCCAGCATGCAAAGTGTGATAGGATATAGCCGGGAAGATGAGAAATTGAAGCCACCATCTAGGGGTTATATAGTCCATCGCTGTGGCTCCTTGCAGCCGGCGGGTCCTCTTCGCCGCCCTCTCCATTAAACCCATTAACATGAAGGATCCTCATTTGCTTCACAATGGTGCTTTTACCAGATTCTCCAGCACCCAGCAGAAGCAGACGGTGCTTGGCCCGGTACACCTGCTTGTCCTTCTGCAGCTGCTTCTCCATCTTCTTGTTGGCCTCGCGCTGCGCCTTCTCCTCGTTGCGCTGGTCCTCGGTCTTGCTGTTTCCGAGACAGCCCATGGCGGCGGCGGCGGCGGGCGGCCTCAAGCGGGCCGAGAGGGCCGGGGCAGCACCGGGCGGGCGGGCCGGGCGCGGAATCGGCTCCTCGGGGAGGAGCGCGCGGGGAGGGCGGTGTCGCTGTGCCGGAGCAGAGCGCGCGGCTCCCAGCCCCTCGAGCTTGAGCCCAGGGGTCTGATGGCCGCCGCGGAGCGAGGCGGACCTGAGACGGAGCTGTGGAATCTGCTGCCGCCGCCGCCGCCGCCGCCGCCGCCGCCGCCGCCGCCGCCGCTCTTATTGCCTCGGCCCGATCTTAATTTTTTTTTTGAATGCTGAGTTTCAAGTCAGCTTTTTCACTATTTTCTTTCATTCTCATCAAGAGGCTCTTTAGTTCTTCTTCCCTTTCTGCCATTTGAGTGGTATCATCTGCATATCTGAGGTTGTTGATATTTCTCCTGGTAATAAGGCAGATCTATGTTACTCTGTATAAGTTTCATGGTGGAAGGAGATGCCCCGGGGAATCTTCCACCTGCGCTGCTCTGGGGCTTCTGCACCACAGCCTTGGCTGTTAGGATGGAAGGGGCTGGCTGGGAGAGGTGCGCTACTTTGGGGACATCTGTGGGACTCTTTCAGACCAAGAGTAACAACCCAACTCACTTTAGAATAATGCGAGTTCATAAGGAAAGATTTCAGTAATGTGACAGGCATGGTTTGCTCATGGCAAGTGAGAGGCTGAGTCTCTAGACTGGGAGTGTGGACCCCCAGATGACCCTCAGTTGCACCCACTTTGCACTCACCCCACCTGCTGTTTGCCCCATTCTGGAGGCTTTGATGGCTGGAGAGTCCATACACTGCTCCAGGCAGTGGCCCCGTGGGTAACTTTGTGGGGCGCTGGGGAATTGGGTCCCTTCGTATACAGTTTGCCAGAAGTGTGACGGCAGTAGACTGAGCCTCCCCAGGGCAGTCCTCTAATCAGCTGGTAGTGGGGGCCTGGCAGTGAGGAGAGGGTGCCTGTTGGTCACATGGATTGTTTGGAGCTGATGCTTTGAGATTACTGAGTATCCCAGACAGGTCTATCCCATGTGGTTATTACATATTACCTATTCCACTAATACACAGAAAAAATGCAAACTATCTATATAAAGCAAAACCAGTTTATTCATGAAGCCTTGGATGAGAGGTTAACCAGGACCCCGTGTGACTTGTATGTTTCTTCTAGAACAGTGGCTTGGGCCTTGAGGACTTGCTTGCCTCAGGCCATATCCTGGGAAAGTGACATCTCAAGGGTGAATTCATCTTCCTGGGTCAGAGTTAGTTTGAGGTCACATGCTCCTGAGGTCCCTGAAGACCACGTGGGCTGCATTGCGTCCAGCGGCTCCCATGACACCTCCTCCTGGAAGGGAGCCTCCCATAAGCCAAAGCTGTGCTCACACCCTCCCACCCTTCTATCCCCCCATGGGATTGCCAAGGCACCAGCCACAAAGCAGAACAGGGAAGACTAAAGGGTGATACTGGGCATGGATAACAGAACCACCTGGGACGATTGTCAAGACACATCCTGGACACTCCTCCAGGCTTCCTGAATCCATGCAGGAAGGGCCAGTGCCTGGTCCAAGCAAGTGTCCCCCTTTGCCCTTCCCAGCCTGAGAGCTGATGGGCCAGATGGCAAGACTTCCAGCGCAAGAAACTAGAACGTGGGACTAGGGGTTGAGGGGAAGACCTGGCAGTACAGGCCCGTCTGGGAGACCGAGGCCCACGTAGCTCAGAGGAAGCACCCATATGAGATGAGCCTCCATGGGGTCAGTTAGGCCTGGGATGGGAGCAGGGAAGAATTTTATAATTGAGAAACTGGACTGTGCTGATCTTTACTGGTCTCAAATATGGATGCTGAATTTAGACACATGGGTCCCTCACAACCCCCAGTGGGAACTGGAGAGATGCCTCCACTAGGACGTGTCCCCAGGCCTCATGAAGAGGAGGTGAGCGAACCTGAGGGTTCTGGTTGGAGAATTCTCAATGCAGGGGAGGGCTTGTTTTCCTGGGAGTTCCCTGCTCCCCTCCCTCTCATCTCCCGCCTTGTTCACCTTCCCCTCTGTCTGCAAGCTTCTGATGTCTGGCAAGCCCTCGCCACCCACCCGGGGTAGTGGGACCAAGGCTCACTCACCAGGATGGGCCCCGCTGCCACAGAGATACAGGCCGCGGAGGGGGCTGCGGTAGCCGGAGTGCAGGGGCACAGGACGCGCAAAGTACAGCTGGTCCAGGCTCATGGCACAGTGGAATATGTTCTGCAGAGGCAGGGCCGTAGTGGTTAACATAGGAGTGTTACAGTCTCCACTGCCTTCCCCTCCCCTGTTCTCCAAGGAAGGTTCTTCTCCTTCCAGGATGTTTTTGGGCTCTCGTGATGCAGAATGAGAAGAGGAAGAGAGGGAACAGGCACAAGTCCCAGGGCTGGGGGTGAATTTTCCTAGAAGCATTTTTCAAGAAGGAAGAAGGGTTGGGTGCATCTTCAGAGGGGGAGGAAACTGAATGGGAGAGAAAAGGAAGATTTTAAAGATTGTGTTGTGGACTATAAATCCCCCTCACTCTGTTTGAAAAGTAGAGGAATTTGATTTACTTTGACTGCTAATGTGTTTTTCTTTGGCCAAGACACTCATCTGAGCCTGGGCCCCAGGGTCCAAGGTCACAGTGAGCGGCAGACCAGGGTGCTGGGACCCAAGTGTGGTTCTACTCCAATGGCCTGGGTCAGACCAGCTGAGGAGGGAGGGGTGTGGGGGAAGGGGAAGATCACACCCGAGGGGTAGGTCTGACAAGAAGACCAACATCTGCTGGAAATCATGGTGGGGGTCACCATCGCCTGCCCCTTCAGCGTGTCCCCAGCTGAGCTTGTTCTCTTCCCTGGAGTTTCCTCCTTGACAGATGGATGGCATCACCTCCCCCTCCTTGGCCTCCAGGTGGACCCTTTACGTTCCCTCCACCCCCGTCTCTACACATGCATTTATCAAGATGTCTCAATCCACCTGCCCCAAGCCTTCCACCTCAACCCTTTCCCTTCCCTCTCCACTGCCTGGCCTCCCTCACACTCTAGCCAGCCTATGCTGTCCAATAAAAATATAATTGGAACTACACATATACTGTTAGATTTTCCATTAGCCACATGAACATTTAAAAAGAAACTGGTGAAATTAATGTTAATAATATATTTAATTTAACCCAATTAAATAATATGTTTAATTTAACCAAAATATCATTTCAACATGTGGTCGATATTAAAATTATTGATGAGCCTTGCTGCATTTTTTTGGTCTTTGCCATCTGGGGTGCATTTTATATTGAAACACATCTCACATTGGCCTGGCCACGTCTAAGTACTCAATAGCCAATCGCAGCTAGTCGCTGCTATTCTGGCCCTGGTGTCCTACCCACTCCCTGCCTCCAGGCTCAGTGAGTGAGTGGTTGATAAATTGAAGAGAAGTGTGAGATCAAGCTGCCTAGGGGAGGGGAGGTCCCTCTGGAGAAAGGCAGATGGGGGATGCTGACATTGACGTCCGGGCAGAAATCCCACAGTTCTGGTGACTTGCCCAGTGGGCGCTGCCTCTCCAGTCTATGTCTCCTCTCTCCTCCCCCACTGCCTACAACTGACCGTGTCTCTGTCCTCTGTACGCTGTGGTCTCTGCCCCTGTCCTCCCTTCCTGCCTAAGGCTGGGTGTGGAGGGCCAAGATAAAACCAAGTGGGCATGTCAGGGAGTGGAGGTGCAAAGAGAATGAAGGGAGAGTGTGATGAAAGCCTCCCATCCTATACGAACTCACCCCCCCAGGAAGCCCAAAGACTCTCTCCAAGTCAGGGGGTGTGAGGATGTCTCTGCCCACCACGGAGCCCTTGAAGCCGGGTGCGTAGGCCTCGATGCAATCAAACACTGGGTGCCAAACACAGGGAAATGAGACAGCGTTATGAAAAAGAAGAGGCTTATGATTATACAATTTGGCAAGTTTACTAAGTTCATTAAACTCAACATTTAAAATGAGTATTTTTATATGCAAATTATACCTCAATAAGCAAAACAACAACAACAAAACAAACAACATAGTCCACCAGCAAATAAACAATTCTTTATGAAGGCCTGTGGGTCTCAGATTATTCCAGACTCCCACTCTTTCCCACCTTTATACTCCAACTCTAAACTCTGTCTCCCCTTGAATATGCAAAAATTTCTTCACCTCATTGATCCACTCAAGTTATTTTTTTTGCTTGGAATGCCCTTTGCTGACTGGTCAACTCCTATTCACCCTTTAAAACCCAGCTCAAATGCCCCTTTCTCTGGAAAGCTTTCCTGTCACTCTGGCTTGTGGCTCCTCCTTTGGTTCACACAGTCTGTTGACTGTAAGATTGGTTTATTATTCTCCCCCATTGGACTGTGAGCAACCTGAGGGCAAGAACTATGTCTTTCTGGCTTTCTTGGCCCACAGCCTGACCCCAGCAGGCACTCACTGTGTTGATTTTGATTTCCCTGGGTATTCCTCTCTCCTTGGCACAGGCCTTGCAGGTGTTAATCCGGAGTGGGGCCATCAGGAGGAGAGGGGTCCATTCAGGCCACTCAGCCAGCTGTCACTATGGAGACCTGATGGTCTAGCTCTCCTTACCTCTGTCTGCATAAGCGTTTCTCTGCTGCTCGTCCCAGGGCTTGCCTCCAGCCAGCGTGTAGGGTGTGTACTGAGTGAAGAGGGAGACGACGTGGCAGCCAGGGGGGGCCAGGGTGGGGTCCAGCGAGGAAGGGATGCAGAGGTCGATCAGAGGTCTGTGTACGACAGGGGAGGAGAGAGGGCAGGGCCTGAAGAGCAACGCCTGCCTGAGGGAAGGGCCGTGGAGCCATCCTGACATGACGGGACAAAATGAAGACCTGAGCTGGGGATGCTGGGCCGGATGGATCATCTCCGTAAGGCTATGGTGGTGTTTGCCTGCACGGGCTTGGTGACCAGCAGGACAGTCCAGACCACCCACGGGGAGCTCTCTCATCCCCAGGTCCCTG